TTATACTTGATTTTCTAAATCCGAACGATGAAAGTTCGTTCTTATCTAAACCTAATTCATCGATTTCAATCAACATCATCTGCATTTCCTTGTAGTCGTTTAACAAATGACGAAATTCGTGCACATCGTCTTCGAATATTTACAAATGAATATCAAAGTCAAATGGAACGTATTCGTCATGTAGAAGAAATCGAAATCGATGTTCGTGATTCAATTCAATCAATAAAATTAACCCTTAAACGGGCGAATTTAGGATAGCTAAGTTCTATCGATGTCGATAATGCAGTCGAATAGATCATGATCTAGATCATCATATACGATGTTGTGAGTGTTCTTGGATATGAATGAATGATTTACATTTACATCCACGTTCATACTCTTGTTTTGTATCAAATAGATGGTACAACAACCACGTACTATACAAAATAAGCAACAAATTTATTGCAGTCCCTAGAGAAAGTACTGAGTTAAGGGTACCCATGTACTGAGAAAGCTGTAGCAGGGTACCTAGTATGGGTACTTCGAAAATTCTCAGTAATTTTACTGATATATGTACTGTTTGGGGTATACATAAAAGTATATTCACTGAATGAGTACCTGCATGGATACACAAGTGTGTAACTTTACTGAGGAAAGTTCGACAGGGTACCCTAAATTTGTCGCGTTCTGTGTGGCGACTATTCATTCACCGTTTTCTTTTTTACGCACGGCTCTATATAAGCAACTCGATAAATCATAAGGAAATAATCAATTTTCATACTGAATTTTCTAAATTATTTCTTGACTATTTCTTAGTCAAGGAAATGCCGATCTTGGTCGTAAATTAAGATCGGACTACGTTGAAGTGGTCTACGACCAACGCAAGTTGAGTCGGATCTCGACATAGTACCTGCTAAGTTTTTGAAATTGAAAAAATTAAATTGAATAAAGTAAAAAAAATCTAGTAAATTATCTCAAGAAAAAGAAAAAATCTAAAGAGTCAAAGATCAAGTTCGATCCTGAACATACTGAAAATTTG